GATGCAGGACCAAATAACCTGTATGGAAATTAGAATGTCAATGCTAACTGCATACTTAATACTATTGACTAATCAACACTAACCTATACACAAACTTTAACTAATAAACAATGTAAAAGTTTGATAGTCAATGATCCATGATAGGGGTGGGGCCAAATAATCTCCATGGAAAAGAAAACTTGCAAATGCTAAAACTATCATTAACTTGACATTAGTTGTTCCTCTTTAACCGATCGAATCACAAGCTTTAACATTTAAACTATGCAAAACATTCAAAGTCAAAAGACCATGACCGAGGGAGTGTGCCAAAATAATCTAAATGGACATGAGATGTGCCCACCAAATATTATTGACCTACCACTAGTGGTTCCCCTTTAACGGACATAATTACAAACTAATACATAGTTGACTCCGTCGATGCCGTCGGAAACAGAATAACTAAGTCTCGCTTTTTGACTCCGTCAAGGCGAGACAAAAAGTGTTTCTCACACAAAAATTTCAATTCAGATTCGGTTAGATAGTGGTTTGCATAAACATGTTGATAAACATATAATTCCAAATTGATCTGTGTTTGGTGGTAATAAATATTGTGTATAAGTTTTATAACATTTGGTTGAGGCAAAGTAAAGTTAGAGTGCGATAATGGCAATTTCGCCATTTTTTTTTCATTTATAAATGGCCAAACCTCTAGAAGGGTGAAAGTGACTTCACCAAAATTTGAATTTGATATGTGTTTGGTGGTAATAAGCATTGAGTACAAGTTTCATAACATTTGATTGTAGCTAAGTAATGTTAGAAAACAGAAACCGCAAATTTGCTGATTTTTCCATTAATTTTATAAAAGGACATTACTCCAGAACAGTGAAATTGATGCCACCTGTTTGATGGTTATAAGAATTGTGTTTAAGTTTCAGAACATTTGGTTGTGGCAAAGTAAAGTTAGACAATCAATTTCGGGACGTACGGATGGACAAGGGTAAACCATAATCCCTCGCCGCCACGGCGTGAGCATTAAAAACTTTAAAGGACTCCACCAAGCACTAGAGACAACATCTGTTAATATCAATAATACCTGGTATAATTATAAGAATATATAAGGTGAACACGTATTAGTTCCTGGAAAAATGTAATAACCAGCAATTTCACATTAAGGGAAATGGTACATTTTTAAAATTTTACTTCACAGAAGGACTCTACAAGTTCATTTCGTTACCACATTCTCTTGAAGAATTACAGTTGTTTGTCTGTAGTTTTGTTTGTTGATATTTCAGCATTGTTTTTTATCCTTGACATTTTCCTTGGAGCTTGTTACTTTTTTCAATGTGGATCTTGAATTATTTTTTGGTTGCAACATATTAAAAGTTGAATCTTGTAAAATAGAAACAAATTACCGTTGCTATGGTTTTGTTGCTAGGGAGAAATTACAATGATTTTGCCAAGAAATGTGCATTCCATTGTGTTATATTTAAACAGTGTATAAATGTATAATTTACTGCATGTTAAACAGGTTGGATTTCAAATAAAAATAGATTTGAGCTGTATATTGAACATTTTCAATGAGTTTATCGCCACCATTATACTGGTTGCTAGGCAACTGCATATACGAGATTGACTCAAAATGCCACCATTTTTTGAAGGTCTGTGGTATAGAGTTACAACATGACAAATTAAATGGAATTTGGGGGTAGGACCAAAAATGGCCCTTATCACCCCTTGTCATTTGCCGTTTATAAATTTATAAATTATTAAGAAACTAATGTTACAACTCCGACAGGCAAATTGACCTTAGATGGACTTGGCTAGATTTTAGTTCCGTTTTGGTCATATAGATTTTTTAAAATGTTCCGGTTCTTACACTTCCTTGGTTTTAAAATATTCGGCTATGAGTGTTCCTGATGAACGTATCTCAAGAAAAGCGCTTCGAACGCATGAAATTGATAAAGTGTTGTTTTCATTCTTTGAAGCGTCACTTATTCATATATGATGACTTCGTTCAGTGTGATAAGAGATGAATCTCTTCATTCTTCATGTGGGCAATGAATCACAGGCCACAATCAAAATAAAAATCTTTTTGGGTGTTGAAATATATAAAAAAAAAAACTAGAAGAACAGTAACATTCACCGCGCTAAGCGTCACGTGATTTTGCATGTACAGTTATGGTTATATGTATGAAGCTCAATTGGTTTTGATTTATACTTATCATGTGATACATTTTTTTTCTCTCGATAATAATATATTTTGTTTCGGTAAATATGTTGTTTAAATGACTTTTGAATATCAGATAATCACGTCGGCCGTTGACCTCATTGTGTTTGTCAGTTGCGTAGATACTTTCTTCTTAACGCATTGAGGGAGTTTACTGTTATTAAAAAAATATAAGCACTTGTGTTTTGTTCTCAATTAAAGAAAAAAAATCAACAAACTACATAAAAGCTGCGAACAAACATAGCAATGAAAATTCAACAATACTTAAAAAAAGTCAAAATCCTATAGAATCATTTAAAGATACTAATTACGATTCGACTGAATATTTCACCTTGTTGAAAGTATTATTTTTGGACGGTTTTGATTTTCAAAAACATGTGCCTCGTCAACAGATAACTATTGTTTGTGTTTAAAGACAAACGTAATTGTGCAATATTTAAAATTATTTAGAATGTGTGTATGGGTTTAGAACTCGTTAAACTAAATCTAAAAATCGAAGTGCCAAATGTAACATTTTTACTTTCGTAGATTCAATAGACCTTATCGCTTTTAGGAATCGGCGGCACTTGAACTATTGACGTCATACAACAATCACCTTTCCTTTGTTGAATCAGACAATTTGTTTGTGACGTCAACATTTTACGGGAACCTCTGTGATGTCCAGTAATGGCGGACAAATGGCGATAAGGTGTATCAATTGAACATGTTGAGGTAGATCATTACAGGAACAAAGCCAGTTAACCATATAAACGACCTTGTAAAGATGTATTTTTCAAACTTGAATTGTTTCAGTAAATCTTCTGTGTATGTTTTACTAAATGTATCATTTTACACAGTACATTAAAAAAAAGGTTACCTGCATCATATACTATACATATATCATTTTGAAGTAGAAATTGATTTCATTTTAGTTCATTTTTCTAGAAATCCGTTATCTCTTTCGACCTTATGATTTCATATGTGGAGCCACCTCTCGCCCATTGAAATTTTGGTTGAATAGTAAAGAATATGGTATATATAGAATATGTCAGCAAACTTGTCGACGAGGAGTGGTGCCACTGTCAATATTTCAGAAAACTGTCATGAATTTTGCCAAATTATGTCCAAAAAAATCAGACATAGACAAATTCACGTATGTTTATGACGTCACTAATATATCGCTAATGAAACATTTTATAAAACAAGTTTGTAGCTGAAACAATTCGGCATTTTAACATATATTTTCATATAATGTTTACAACATCATCGTGATATTATTAAAAAGATAATCACACACCAAACACTTACAAAATTTAGTGGACGGAATTTCGAACAATTGAAATTTAAAATCTTTTTCACAAACTTATGGATATTCAATATAAATCCTTTGTAGTAGGGTAAGAAATGATAATATCTTTTCAACAAACCGGATACCATTCTCCAGTACATTCTGTCAATAAATAAAACAAAAGTTATCTAACGTGAAATTGAAAAAAAAAGTGAATAAAATAGTTTTTAACAACCTTGTATTTCTTTTTAAACATACCTTTATCACACTTACTGTAAAACAGAATATTGTTCGTTGTCACTTAATCAGAGCCGTTCTTCAACACTATCAATTCTTCTGATAAAAAAGCTTGATAACTTTGAGAACTTATATTTATTCTTACTATTTATTTAAGTTATTGATACTTATATATTTCCATTGATGTCGTGAATATAAATCTACCACCAATTAAAGCGTGTATCAAAGTAAAAATATCCTAGGTAGACTTCTGTGTCATTTGGTCTCTAGTGGAGAGTTGTCTCATTGGCAATCATACCACATCGTCTTATTTTCATACTCTTGAATATAAAAGAATTCACAGTTTATGTCACGAATGTAAGATATGGTTTGTCTAATCGTGCAGGATAACGTTTTAACATGTATACAAACTACAGTCAGTAAGTTGTTGAACTCAAATAAGAAATGAATGCTTCTTTTTTAATTTTATTGGGGTGTAAAAGTGTTGACCGACGCACATTCTTTATGAGGCGCTTCATTCTAAAAATATGTGCACGATCAACATTTAAAAACCCTATCAAATTACTAAAAGAAGCATTCATTTCTTGTAATTACATTTTTATGCTTACACCATGAAAAAAAAAGGTTTTATCAAGTTTTTCTTTTATTGACCTGTGCTCTTTTTTTTGTGAAGGCACGTTTCATCATTTAGATATGAGATTAATTTTTGAACGACACGCAATTGTTGTTAGCGAATCCAACTAACGGATTCTCGTGAAACATACATGTAATGTAATTATTCACAAATATTGTTATTACTTATTACTTTTAAAGAATAATAGATAACACCAATCATTTCCATGGATTGCGATGTCCATTTGGTATGAGCAATGAATAAGAAAAAAATTACCTTAACAGAGATTTCTGTTTTACAGCAAATATTGGCAAGTTCTATCCCACTGGTATTTGTATACAAGGAACGAATACAATTGATGTAAACAATAAATGGACATTCTTCGATGGTACACCTATGACCTACTTCAAATGGATCCCAGGTGAACCGAACGGCTCAGGATATATACGTATTGACAGAAGCAAAGGTTTTGGATGGGTAGTACCTCCGATACCAAATTGGTGGACATGTACCTACATGTGTGAAATAAGAATGATTTGAAAATCGTTTAATGTCAATCAACATTTTATGCTTTAGTCAATCGTTTGTACAAAATATTGTTTATTTGACCAATTGGTAAATTTGTTGAACTCTTTTTTATTTCTTTTTTCCTTTCCTCTTTTTTTTTCCTTTCTATTAAAAACATAGAACGCTTCACCAATTTGCGTGTCATCCTTGAGCAGGGGCCATGCGTATCTTTTCTGTATTGTTCTAATTTTAGAATATGTACTGTCTGATGTGACATTTAAACATTTGTCATGTACATCTGAATACATTTTGTTCATTCTAACGTTTCGAGAGCAGACAGTATTAGTTTTATAAATATACTACTCTTCTCGAAATCACCTTACAAGGTCATGTGTCCTGACACACTTTTACCTAACGTAATAAGCTACAGTTGATTAATAATGCAGTATGTATTAGAATAAACAATATGACACATTAATTTCTATATCGTCAAGGCAAACGATAATGCAGACGTATATACTTTTATCAACCTTCCATGTAAAAACGTTTTCATACTTCCACAAATTATGGTAGTCCTCCCATTAATACGAATTAAAACAATGAAGAAGCAACAAGAGCTCCGCAGTTCCTTTGATATGGTGCTCGCGTATTTTGAACCCTTCTACCAGCTTCAAGACCCTATAGCCCGAAAAGAGAACCCCTGAGCAAATTCATTAAAGCCAAGGACCTATAATGTGGAGCCTTGGAGCGAAACAAGAAAAATAGAATATTGTTCGCATCTAATAGCTTTTGCTATCCTCTACAAACATCGAGCACCTCAAGGGGTACCACGTCAACAAAACAGCAACTGAACGAAAAAAAACTTAAGAACAAAATTACATCTGAATATGCATTCGGTGTCAAAAGTGGTTTAGATCTCGAAAATTACACCATATATTTCATACAAAAAACATATTAAAAATATGTCCTTAGTTGTTGCTTGTTTTTCTACCTTTAGCTATCGAAAAATTTGTAGTTTCTTGTAATTTGTAATTGTAAATACTTGTCTAAATTATACTTTTTATGAATTCACTGTTTAAAGGCAAATCTGAAATTCGGCTCACAAAAATATATGAGTTCATAGCATATAAAGGGAACAAAATTTAATATTTGTATTTTAAATGAACATTTGTCAGTTATGATACGTCACATGATAACCATAAAACCTAGACGCATTTACTGAGTTAAACAGTAAACTATTTATTTAAACGTGTAATTAACTTGTATTGTAATTGTATGGTATGCAAAAGTACATGAACCCATTTCTACGTTTAAGAATTACATGCACATGTCAAAACATTATTTTATTCGCATCGAATTTTTATTCACAATATTATAACAGTCTACAACAAATGACCATTCAAAAGTCACCTTCGACTTTTTATGATAGGCAAATGTTCGAGCCTTATGATAAGTTTTTATATTTGTAGATCTTTTGAACCTTTAAAACGATTCTGTAGTTTAAAATGTTTTTTTGTTCAAAATGACAAATGGATCAGACACAAGTTTTACAACTTAGTAACGTCTTCTCCAAGATTCTGTTCAAACAATAAACGAAAAACAAATTTTATGTTCAACAAAGCCCAATTAATGAATCAATTCTCTCCCCTGTATGTTTAAAATAATCTAATACAAATTTTGTCATTGTTGTGGACAAATATCGTTAATATATTATGCGCACTGTACTTGTTTTTGTTTTTATTAGCTTTTAAACTCATATACTAGATACGAATTTTAAAGTATTTTTTTATACAGTAAATTGATCTCATTGTTTATATTCTGTATCCATTATTTTATTCAATTGATGGAGAAAGCCCTATATGATAATTCGCAATCTGATATTTTAGAAACAATGACAAAAGTAATTGGTAGTTGGATCTTAACGTGCCTTTCAACAATTAAGCATATATGTGGCAATCTCTCTTAAATCGCTTACAACTATTCTTAACTCGAAGCGATTTATAAAGGGTCTACTGATGAAGACCTTTCATGTATGTTTAACTCTAGAAGTCTGCTTTGTCTTTGGATAATTGTATCATTGACGTAAACGTTGTGTTCTTGTTGTTCAGTTTCATGATGCGAACCTCAGATAAGTTAACATTAAGTGTTTTATCATTCTAAACAAAACAACCTTCTAAAATAAACTGAAAACACCACTTGGTAAAACAAATAATCACATACATATACTCATGTTATTCTTATGTTGTGCTGTAACACAACTGTCCCAGGTTAGGGACAGGGTTGGGCGCCAGCAAACATGTTTAACCCCGCCTCATTCTGTATGTGCCTGTCTCAAGGCAGAAGCTTGTAATTCAGTTGTTGTCGTTTCTTGCTGTTTATTACATTTGTTTTTCGTTTATTGTTTTGTACAGTGTGTTGTGCTATTGCCATACTGTCCCAGGTTTACGGGGAAGGTTTGGTGCCACTGTCCAAGGTTTACGGGGAAGGTTTGGGGCCACTTACATGTTTAACCCAACCAAATTCTGTTTTTGCTGGTCCAAAGTAAGAAGCTTGTAATTCAGTGGTTGTCATTTGTTGCTGTGTATCATACTTGTTTTTCGTGTTTTGTTTTGTACATATATAAGACCGTTAGTCTTCTCGTTTGAATTTTTTCAATTGCCATTTCGGGGCCTTTTATAGCTTCAATTGCGGTGTGGGATTTGCTTATTGTTGAAGGCCTGTTCGGTGACCAACTTCTACGTTATGTTGTCTCTGCTGGAGAGTTCTCATTTGCAGTCAAACCGCATCTTCTTTTTTTTATACAGTTTACGTTTACTAAAATATAGTACCGTACACCAAACATACCCAGAGACTATCAAGACGACGACAGACCCATATCATGCATTTGTTTTATTGAAGTTAAATAAGCCACGTAGATTTTCTTTTCCTGTTCTAATTACTTCTACTAAGAAATATATTTATTGGAAATTACGACGACAGACACATACGAATTATACCGTTTTCGATATTTCAGAGCTTTACGTTACCATGTGCTAAAGTCCAAACAACACGAATAGACAATGGAGTCATATCAGTATGAAACAAATATGATTATAAAACTATAGACCAGGTTAATAGTCTTTGAAACTATTGACTGGTAAACCATATTTGGAATCAATAGCCGAAATATTTTAATCTTTTTTTAGATAGAAAAAAACATATAGAGGTAATATAAAACATATAGAGGTAATATAATTAGAATTATTTCCAACAAAGAATTTTTCTTTTCTCTTTGGATAAATTACAAAGTTAGTAATGGATATATTTATTACGTTGACGTCTTGTTAGTTATCTATGTTGACGATCATCAACCCTTTTTTGAAGAAACATGTCAATTAAAATCAAACTAAAAAAAACACCACAAAAAAACCCACTGATTTACTTCTATTTTGTCTGTATTGTACCTGTGCTTGTGAATTATTGATATATTTTCGATATGCTGTCAAACAAAAGAGTTTACTGAAGTATATAAACATGGTCATCCTTGGATTTTTCTCGTCCGGCAATAAATCTCTTGTGAAAGCGGATGTCAGTTTGGCTGTGCGGGATGTATAAATGCTCAGTAACGTCCGGTCTGAATGGGAACGTTAGATCCGATACTTGATGTAAGGTGTATGGCTTACTCTTTGAACATTCAAGAACACTTGCAATAACTGAACGAGGTTTCCATATGTGACCTATTGCTTTTTCTTACACTATTCAACTTACTATCATTATCCAGTGGCAGTCAAAACTGTCCCTTCCATCATTCCTTTCGAAGTACCTTGCAGGATTTCTCATTCAAAATATGCACGAAATAAACTTTTTATAGTTTGAAATGCATTTATTTTTACATTTCTCTTGTAATTCTTTAGAGTTCGTTTCATGGCAGTGCATACAAAGAACACATCACTAAACATAGGTAAAAGGAGATAACAGATTCCATCAATTGGAAACACAACTTCAAAATACTGATGGATTCAGTCGAGGATTATGCCAGGAAACGGGTTAAACGCTACAAAGAAGACGTAGATACTCTTTCAAACTAATTAAGACTGTGAGGTCGTTGATACAAATCAGAATTAAAAAACTGTGTGCCCATGTTCCATCAATCTTTAAAGACCCAAATATTGCAAAACACCTGTCCTACCTCAGTGACAAATATGTTGTTGTCCCCGCAGATAAAGCCCCAAACAACATCGTTTCTTGTGTGTAGATCACATTACATAAACTGCTTGATAGATAAATTAGGTATTCACAATTCACTTGGAAACTCAACATATACCCCCACGACACTTACCAAATTAGGAAATCCTGGATACTCATAGGTCTGTTCTATATTCCTTTGGAAATTCAGCAAAAGAGGAAGAACTGGATCTTCCTTCACTGCATGCGATACCTAAACTACATAAGTGTCCTTACAAACAGCGTTATATTGCTGGGTCTTTTAAGTGCTCCACGAAACCTCTGTTTTAATTATCAATATCAATTTTATCAGCAATCAAAGCCGGGATTCAAAGTTAGAAACTACCGATTCTAGAGGTGGCGTGAATCAAATGTGGATACTAAACAATTTCAAAGATTTTTTAGAGTACATACAATTGAAGACTCTCTCATCTTGCAATAGTGTTAAAATATTTGACTTTTCTACACTTTACATAAGTATTCCGCATTCTAAAATAAAAGACAAATTGAAAGAGTTTGTCCTGCTTTGTTTCATAAAAACGAATGACCAATCTTGTCTTGAGGGATAAATCGTACTTTGTAAAAAAATCACTTTGATCCAAACAAAACATTTTCTGAAACTGACATTTTCAAGGAGCTTGATTTCTTGATTGACAACATATTTGTTACGTTTGGAGGATTGTGTTTTTGAATAAACAATCGGCATTCCCATGAAAACCAACTGTGCTCCTCTTCCTGCCGACTTGGTCCTTTATTCATATGAGGCTGACTTCATACAGGAAGAAAGAAAAGAAGTTAGCAGTATCATTTACCTTTACTTTCCACTATATAGATGATGTTCTCTTACTAAATAATTAAAAAAATGGTGACTATGTTGAACGCACCTATCCCATCGAACTTGAGATAAAGGATACAACATATACAGTTAAGTCTGCCTCATATCTTCACTAACATCTAGAAATTGACAATGAGGGTCGGTTGAAATAAAACCTTTTGACAAAAGAGATGATTTTAGCTTCCCAATTGTGAACTTTCCATTTCTATGTAGCAACATTCCAGCCTGCATACTGAG